AGGCATGTTCTATTGGGGGGGGGGGGGGGTCCATACATAATTTTTCAATGGTAATTGATTGATATAGAATGAAGATGTTCACTGAATGGCTAATTGCACCCACCTCTAACAACCCAACCCCCATTTTTTGTAGCAAAGTCAAATCTTCCCATATTAATGCATTTTTAAAAAAAATCCTGGTCAATTTTTTTTTTCGTTGCAGCATTTACTTTTTTCTCATTTTTTTTAACGGCTGGCTCAAGACTTTAACAAATTATACAGATTTTATTCTCAAATTTCAAGAAATATATATCTTAGGAAACACATTAGTCTCGTTCAACCAGAAGCTAGGCTGTCTCCGTAAACAGTAAACCGACGGTTCTATACTTGAATGAGACAACAGACACATTGACCCGTAAATGACCGTGACGAAAGCAAATCGTCATTTATCGCGTTTATAAACACAAAAAAATATTGTTTTGAAAAAAAAAAAAGAAACAGATGTTTTCTTCATTAAATTTATGCTTTACGAAGAATCAATCTTTACAAACTTCGTCATTTGCTACATGTAGAGCTGAACAAAATCTTAAACGCATATATAAACCTATATGTTGGGAACGGTTTAAGATTTTTCTTTTCATTTATTGTAAAGTATTTCACTTCGGTTAATATGAATTTGTGTTAAAAAGGTACATGTAGAGGTATATATCAATTATGTGCATGTACGATCGCTTTCAATGCATGAACAATCGGATAAAAAAAAAACTTGCACCTAATTATATCAGCAAACTTTAATATTCAATATTGGAAATGTCCATTTATATGGAACTTAGCTCTAAAAATTCATATTTTCTTTTTTTTTTCCTGATATTTTATACGCTCTAAATGATATAAACAACAATGAAAATAAGTTGATAGAGCTCAGATAAAAATGTTGGAAAAAATATATAACATACGCAACTTGCATTTTATGACATTTAAATTCAAATATATGATGAAAATTTTGTTTCATTATCAAAATTATTTCAAAAGTTATACTGCTTTGAAATTTTGACTTGTCTGTTCTCAGTTTATGGTCTGAAGATGAACCACGCACGTGCTGATACCCTGGATCTTTGTCACGTGATGATGCCGACGATTTCTCCAGAGTGAGCAATGCTGCACAGCGCGGTGCAAAATGTAAAAAAAAAAATGTCCTTGTTTCATTCACAGCTGTACCATATTCAAAACAATTTTTACTAGTTGAACATTTTTTCAATTTTTATTGCACTTTTTAATGCACTTTTACCACGTAATAAGCAGTAATTAATATGCGGAAAATCATAACGATCCGTATCTTACACACCCCCACTTTGGGGGAGTACCCATTGTAATTTTTTTCATATATATATATTCATAAATTAATAATTATCTGATGAGAAATGATTGAAACATAACAACAATTAACATTTAGTTTAATAAATATTTTACTTATCAGTTTATACTTGTTATCATTATAAGAATAATTTTACTGAACTAGTAAAAAAAATAACGTCTCATTTCCCCATGTGTACTTTCTAACACAACCACAAATAGATCGGTCGCTCCTGTATCCGATAATGAAATGTTATTTTGTCATTTCTTCGATGTAATAATTCCTTACTGATAACATACATAAAAGTAATGAAAGCTTTAAAAAAAAATTGCTTAATACTAAGTCTAAATGGTTGTTATTACGTTTCAATTCGTTTTGTTTTTTTCTCATCAGATATTTTCTAATTTATGATTTTATTAAAAGTGGTTACATAAACTGCTTCCCAACATGCATTTTATTAACTGTTTGAATGAGGCACTGTAATTCACATCCGGAAACTCAGTATGTTTTGTTTTTTATATCTTACGCGCACACTTAAAAGTCAGTTTAAGATGAAGTGAATTTTGCTTTGAATACACTACAGTGGCAATGACACAATGACAATTTTATTTTCATTGTGATGCGATCTGCATTAATAATCACGTGATAAAGATGCGGGCATCATGCAGCATGTGAAGTTTATACATCCTTATTTGTCAGCATCCCGACATTCATAATTAATAATTTTAGATATTTTTTGCATTTGTTTTTGAATCAAGTAATTTAATGATAATGCATTCCTATCCTTCATCTCAGTCCGATTTTCATTTCCATGAATTTATCAATTATGATTAATATTTAACAATTAATCACTGAAAATTAAATAAATATAAATGCACAGAAAAGTAAGGCAAGTGTACAGTTTTGAAAAAAATGTATCATAGAATTTATACTTTTTTCTACTTTGATTTTTTTTTTCTTTGGGTTCCTTCTTGTGGAAATTACGATGGCCGATATCAGCCTGTCTAAAATAAAATTACACGACCTATAATTTTGTCTTTTGTACATGTACATGTCCTGAAATTTGTACATGTACAAAAATATTAAAAGTTACAATTTCGCGAAAAGACAAAATGTACATGTACAATTCTTAAAAATTGTACATGTACACACAAAAAAATCTATAGCAGGTGCATTTAGGCAACACCCATCACCATCTAAATTTAGAGGACCCGACACAGTGCTGCGATTTTTCTTATTTCTTTTTTATATTGATATCGTTTTGAATGAATAATTAATTATTAAATGTATTAATTGTTATATGACAGCAATGTGTTTCGGCCATTTGATATCGTACTGGTGTATAAAAAATATAAAGCACGGTTCCACCTTCTTCAGGGATCCAACCGTAATTTCTATGTGGCAAAATGGCTTTTGCCAGCAAATCACCAATATACTTTTATGTTCAGCATATGCAATCATTAGTTTTGTTTTGAAAGACTTATTTGCATGTTTCATCTTTTAAAACTAATGATCAGTATTTCAATAATTTGAATTTCAGACGTTTGATTCTTGGATCATACTTTGTAATTAGAACAGTCAGTATTTCCCCTTGTTTCCTTCGTTTTATGGAGCATTATGACTCTGTTTAAAGCATGCAGAAGATTCATTAATAATTGGATCAGTCTCATTTATCTTGTATTCTCTGTTTAAGAGGTGTGATCTGAACTCAAGAAGTTCTTTTATATACCGCTATAGATTTTTTTGGTTTGTAAATGTACAATTTTAAAGAATTGTACATGTACATTTTGTCTTTTCGCGAAATTGTAACTTTTTATATTTTTGTACATGTACAATTTTCAGGAAATGTACATGTACAAAAGACAAAATTATAGGTCGTGTAATTTATTTCAGACAGGCTGATATCGGCCATCGTAGGAAATACTTTAAAATGCTAAATATATTTTTGCGGCTGATTTGATGCTTTGCATCAATTTTACTAATTGTTAGTATTATGTTTTTAACATAAATGTTTGCACTACGATAAATTCCATGTTTTTATTCGGCAGTTCCAATCTCATTTTATCTGAATTTTTTCTCTCTCTAAAAAAAATTAAATAGGATTCATCATACTTTTGTCCTATAATTGTTGTGATTACTAATCATAAAACCAGGTCCATCAACGTTGTTCCTAGAAGGGGGGGGGGGTAGGAGTGGAAGGTAGGATCTTCTGGGCCATTTTTCCCCCAAGCAATAACATGGGACAATTCGACCATAGTTCAGGCGTGTAGCTGTCTATATGCCAAGACATTATTTTCAAAAAATAAAATAAAATAAAATAAGAATTGGGGGAAAGAAAGAATTATTCGGAGGAAAATATCTCAGTACCATCTCCAACAAATATTTGTGTTTCAATTTATTTTGTGTCAAACTGTTTCTGTTCAAAATTTATATTATGATGTCTGTTTAATTAAATTTGAAATTGGAAATCTTTCATTAAATAATCATAGCTTAATCCAAATAAATCATTCATAAATCATTCATAAATTTGTAATTGTTCTATAAGACACTAATGATTTTGTGTAAAGATCTTTTAGAAATTTAATTTCAAACACATCGTTTTATGCTACGATTAACTAGTACTATATAGTTTATGATAAATGATACAATATTTAATTTTTGTTAATGATTAACATTTATTATATATCTGTTGTTGGATCGACGTTGAAAGAGAGTATATGAAACCAATATATCGATAAAATTATTTAATATTTAGCCTCAACTACACGTACAATAACTTTCCATTAAACTATTAACATTGCATTAAAATCAATAAAACTATGGGGGGTTTTTTCTTTCTATACAAAAGCGAAATGGCATGATATTTTTGCAATAAAATGAATGAAATTTCACTTCCATTCTGGCTATACGCGTCTGGTTACTGCAAGAAAAACTGTAAAGGGGGGGGGGCGGTCTTTGAAAGAAAATTTCTGTACAAAAGACTGTTCTAAAAGATAGTTGGAGGGAAGGGGCTTAATTTCATTATGACCTAGGCATCTACATGTATATATAGCTAGCAATTAAAAAATCGAGCACACATAACAAGGAAATTTCAGGATTTGCGTAGGAAATATTACATATGTCGCTTCATCAGGACTCGGAAATTATAATTAATTCAATTTCATATACGAAAACATGTACCTGTCATTTTTTTTTTTTTTTTTTTTTTTTTTTTTTTTTTTTTTTTTTTGTCCACAATAGCGTTATCCTTTTCAGAGATATTTTTATCATTTTTTTGTCTTTTTTATGATCACATCTGTAGCCCCCCCCCCCTCTTCTCTGACAGTACAATGTATTCTTAACAGCTTTATTTTTAGCAGGGACTTATATACTATACTTTAGTATATAGGTCCCTGTTTTTAGCAAAGGTACGTGTTACAAACCACTTGGGAGAGGGTCGCGTTGAAAGGACTGGGTATGTCTTTAAATCAAGTGCACGTGGAGAGGGTATCGGGGAGGGGGGGTCCAGACACCCCCTGGGATTTTTCAGAGTTATCTTAAATCTATAGCAATATTTTAGGTCTCGCACTTGATGCATATAAAATACGCCACAGCAGACCACTATACAAATTCACACTTGTCTGAGATAGGAACGAACGACAACTCTGCAGAGGAGATTGGATCGAGCAATGCATTATGGGAAAAAAATTCCGGAAATTAATTTCAGGAAGTAATGAAACTGCCCAAAAAAGAAAGTCTACACATTTTTAACACAGTTGAATACTACTTATGTATCCATACTAGATGAACTATCACTGGTAAGTGTTTATCGTTTAGTTTCCTTGTTGTTACACAATTGGATTCATAATAGTCAGAGAAATGTAACCACAACAAACTGAAAGAAGTAGATCTATCTCAAACTACAGCATTGAAAAGAAACCCCAAACGACACTGTCTTTATAATGGATTCTTGAAAGAAAAGTTCAGCTTTTTACCTACGATACGAAATCACAAATTTAATGATGAATTACATGTATGCAGATGTATTTCTATTTTGAGCAGATGTCACAAGCCGTGCGCGCAGATCTCTTATAAGGAAGTTGAGCTCTGAGTTCAGGAACTGGAAAATTTGCGATTAGGTATTGTATTTAGTGATCTTCTCTCCTTTGTCCTTATCCTGTTCATTATATCAGATACATGTTGGACATTAATTTACTCTCATATTACCATGGAGACTAGGATGTCTAGTATTAAAAGACGGGCAAGTACAATGGTATCATATACACTTATGTTTATTCTCTTTTTCTAAAGTGCATGTACTTTAATTCAAAGTTGCTGAGTGATAGAAATAAAGTCATGAATGTTTATTGGATAAATAAGGTATTAAAATCACTGGTCGATGAAGCCATTAATTACTTATGAACTGGGGTTTTTTTTTCATTGAAGTGTGCATAATTTGTAAATAAGGAAACACATTTTGACTTTATGGCTATTTTTATCCTAGGATACATAAAATATTCTTCAGTGATGAAATATGTGTGATGAGAAACACATAAATAACCATTCTTGTAAGACATTTATAAGCTTTAAGTTGATTTGAAAACAACAAATATATTTAGATTCAGCATCCCCCATTCACGCAGATAAAATTTTCCTTTAAAACTGATGATTTTCCAAAAGAAATCTGATTCAAGATGAAAATTCACACACTTTCTGTTTCAGCATACCATACAGTGCAAAATTTTACAGAAATGGCCTTTCAAGTCAAAAATTTCATAAAAGATTATAGTCATTTATCCAAATTAAAGTTATGTATCTCTCTTAATTATCAGAGGGTTACTGAACCATAATAAGTTTATACTTGATAGATGTCCAGAACAATAACAGTTTATATCAGGAAACCTGATTTTATAATTGAAATGTGTTCACATGTATCTGCTGAATGTGTTTTCAGCAAAAGACTATGTACGTGCATGGGACAGAGAAAAAGATACTGTTACCAGAAGGTTCTTGAACTTTAAAACTGAGTTAACCTCAGCCAATTACCCGATAATTTCTATTGTTAAACCTGATTTGACCAGAAACTTGATTTTATGAATTTTGATATAGTAAATGGAAAGTAATGTTAAATAGCAATTATAATTTAATTTCATGCCTATCTAAAACTTTGGGTATCACTTATTTTTTTTATCATTGTTTCCACCATTGAATACAATAATTGCCGACACCTTGGTAGGAAACATTTACAGAATGTATTATTGTATATATATTAATTTATAGGCCATAAGCATGATAAGTACACCTTCTGTCCATCTTACATTACTGGTGGCAGTTCCTTGCAAGACAAACTTTCTCAACAACAACACCCCCCACCCCCCACCCCCAAAAAAGTTACACAGTTGTTGCACAGTTGATTGTTCGATCTTCTCATTTTTGGAAGTTCGTTGGAATTTTGATGTTTTTTTTTAACCCACAAATACTCAAATGTGGGTTTCTAGAAGAGGGTACATAGTAATTTTAAGTTCGCGTATCATGCTAATTAGAAGTTTTACCAAATTTAAGTTTCAATTTTACTAGCCAAACTCAAAATTTGAAAGCCTCAGGCTTCAGACAACTGACAGATGGAGTGTGACTGAGACAATTTTAATTTATATTATACATTGTCTAAGGATGTTAAGTAAACCAAGTGATCATATAAATTGAAACCATTAGGCCAACTTTAAAATAATGTTTGCTTGCCCTCTCCTGACTCAGGATGAGAAAATTGAGTCGGTAGGTAGGTGAGAATTTTTTTTCAAAAATTTCAAAATCAATGCTGAATTTTCAAAATCTATTTTCCAGAATACATAAAAAAATAATAAATGCTTCCTGGAGGTTAAAAAAATGTTTTGAGTCGGGCCATTTTTAGCCAGTCGGTCGGGAGAGGGCAACCAAACATTATTTTAAAGATGGTCTTACTCTTTTTTTTTCTTCTGAAATAATAAATGTTGAGTCACAATTGCAATATGGCAATACATGCTGATACATACTAATAAAAACAAAAAAAAAATGTAGTTCAGGGAGATAACAATGATCAGGAAAAAAATATAATAGTATGTATTCAGCATACGGTGCTTGTGCCTTGATTTTTTGAGTGGACAACCTAATTTTTCTTTTAGTTTCAAAAGAGGAAAATCTAAACAATAACTTGACAGTACTTTAATTTAGGAAATAAGTTTGTATATATATATGAGCAAGTGAGTGTTGATAGTAAATGTAAGATGTGAATCCTGTTATTGGATAAGAGGATGTAAGGCTGTGTATCATACTCAAATCCTAGCTAATGGGATACCAGCCTGTAAATAGCGAGATGTTAATTAAGAAGAACTTGGTGTAACTGGTTATAATATTTCATGAGACCATCATGAGTCCATGTATAATGCACATTGTGTTTTCATTTTGACCTTTGTTACGTTGCATATGATATCAAAATATTTAATTTTTTAATTGTTTGTTTAAATTTCCTCAAGCCCAATAAGAACTGAATGTGGATTTGGACTCGGATTTAGACTCGAGGGTTTTTTCCCTACTACATGTATTGCTTATGCAAATAAAAAATGAAAATTGTCTCAATCGCAGTGGATATGTCAGTTGTCTGTTGATTCAAAGTCAAAATATGTTTTCTATTTATACATGCTAGACACCTCCTTTTTTGTTGCACATGATCACCTAAATCTAGCATTTTTTTTTTTTATTTTTCAACTTAGCAAGTATATCATATACATGCAAAATATATATCATATCATATATATTTTGCATGTTTTATTTTTCTTTTTTTTAAAGGGAGATATTTTTAAGTTGACAACAGTTCATTTAATTGTTACGAGATCTTTTTTTACCCCTATTCTGTGAGGATAGATAACACCTGCTCCTTAGTACTTGTACATCACCAGTGTACTTGTATCTTGTCACAGAAATCTACAGTGTCTATATTACCTGTCCTTGGGGGCTGTTAGATCTCATCATTTTAGTTGTCATCTTGTACTGGTCTGTCATCAGGTTGGCAAAATTACGAGGCGATCTGGAGATGTACTCATTTCATTCTCTCATTCTTTTATCATGATTATGATTACACACTTATGATGGTGTTAGTTAAGATAATTTACGATGTGTTTAGTGCTCTGGTAACAAGACATTGTACTAATTAAGTTAGTTGTGTATTTCTGTGGAGGTGATGGTGTTAACTTAGTAAAGCAAACACAGGTTATTTATATAAAAATATGGATGTGAGGCACAGTTATTAAAGACAAGCTAAAAGTGTGTTTGTTTTGGGGTTTTTTTTGGTGTTGTTTTTTTTAAATCTATAAGGTATATTGGAAGTCTGCTTCATTATATATATATATATATATATATATATATATATATATATATATATATATATACAGTATATATATTCAAAACTTCTACGTTTACAGTGAAAGACTGTCGATATTGCTTTCTAAATGGATAGACCAGTGGTTGGTAGACTTTGGTTGTACCCATAGGGAAACATATATCAAGTAGAAATTATAAATATCATAAAGATTAGTCAGTGCATTGTAGTAGATTTACTATTGTTACAACGGAGACTCAGTAACACCATTTACCGGTAATTTTGACTATAGTGGTTGTGGTTTTTTATCTTTATATATACATGTTTGAAATGTTTTATTTATTAATTTGAGTGAATCTGAGACAGGAGCACAGAGATCATCAAGCTGAAGAATTATTATACAGATGTACAATTATATATAGTAACTTAGTTGTTACTTGGCTAGGTACCTCTTAGAAAGTGGACATTCACTGTTTTGGAATGACGGAACTGACACAAGTTTGAATTCTTTTCAAGGTTTATGTCAGCATCAGAGCTTATAAATATACAATGTCTATACGTCTCACCTCTGTCCTGTTATTCGTTGTTTTCCGTGCATTATCTTGATGAGTTACACAGCCAGTAGCGACGGTATTAATCATGTGACTGTCAACATTTGTAACAGTTTAGTTTTTGACCAGTTCCTTGGATGTGAAATATTTGGGGTATTTGTTTACAAGACAGGGAAACAACTTGACAATTTGCTTACAGGAAGATCTAATTAAACTGCAGAAAATTTCAGCGAACTACAGAACTGAAAAAAAAAAACACCAAAATTACAAGGAAATATTGTAAACCTGGAATGTGTTGCTGAATTTCATGCAAGTTTGTTTTTGCACATATTTATATGTGATACATCTAATATTGTGTTTCTATAAATACATGTTTACAGTATGTGTGCTATAATGACTGTGTTAGAAGACCAGGTCAAGGAAGTTGATTGTGGAAGTTACTGTAGATAAATATGTTTACGGCAATGTTATAAATGTGGAACAAATATGCAAATATTTCTTTAAAAGTTGACTATTAACTTCCGCTAGTTGTATGTTCATGGTTTCATGTTAAGGATTATACACAGCAGGTAGTATCAGTTTATATGTCTCCTGTCAGATCTTGACATATGTATAAGAACTTAAAATATAGACTTGTTGCTTTAATTTCATTTCATTTCACTGTGTATATGGTCCAGTGCTCTGTTTTAAATTTTAAATAATAACAGACAATTGTCATTTAAAAATTTTTAGCTAATCAATGCTATATACCTAATGATATAAAATTATTCTTGGAATTCTGGCAATTTAAAGTTTTCTTTTCACATGGTCTTGGTTTATTTGATAGAATTCCCTTCTGTTTTCCACTGCATTCTATCATGTGTGTGATTGTAGTATCAGATAACAGATTTACTACTTGTATAGCCTACACTGCTACCTAATAAGGAATTGAATGTTATGTCACAGCATTATACCTTTTCTTTGAAACCAGTTATAACAATTGTTCTAAATAGAATTAGCCTACATGTACATTTTATATCTTGTGTTATACAGTTCACTTACAAGAGCATGATATCCAGGAAGTTGACTTTTTTTATTTTAATGACAGACACTATATCTTTATAGTGTATACAGCCTTGCCATGCATTTGAAGTGTCTTTTTAAAATAGTATTTTATGATGCAGTGATAATCTGCATTGTCAGTGTACTTCCTGCATTGTTCATTTTTATACATTTGAACAAAGTTTCTTAAAAGGAAAAATCTCTTCATGGTTTTGTCTTCAGTTTTTTTATTTATGGAAACATGAATGGATTTTAATGAATTATATATTGATTAGTTTAGGATTGCATTGAAGGAAAATGTCTGTGTTTTGATCATTACAACATTTTATAATAATTACGGTTCATTGTCCCTCAATTCCCTCATTAAATTTTGCTTTTACACTAATGGTTTTTTTCGTAATACAAAATCTAATTTATAATAAAACTGTACAACTTACACCATTTCAGAATACCTTGCTGGGCAAAGTTTGACAAGAATGGTCTTTTAACATGACAATTTTATAGAGAAATAATAGTAAGTCATATATGTCAGTGAGAGTTATCTCTCTTATCAGAGGGTAATGAACCTTAAGGTGTATATTCATGTACAGTAAAACACGCTTATAACAAAGTGCGAGGGATGGAAGATTTTGCTTTATTTTAAACGTAATTTGTTATAACATAAAGTTCACATTATATTTTAAAGCCATTGGGAATGAAAATCACTTCGCTGTAAGCGTCAATTCATTATAAGTATGTTAGCTATAAGCATGTTTTACTGTATATATACACACTGATTCAGATATGGCTGTTAAAGTTTTGCTCTTCATGTAGACTGTTTTAATTTGCAGACAAAGGGGCTAATTTGCATAACACTGTATTATTGTGTAAACTATTTTTTCAATAGCTCCTTTAGACAGAAACTGAGCATGAGTTTCATAAAAAAGTTCAGAAATCGTCGCTCTGGTCCAGGAGCTGCTGAGAAACAAGGAAAACAAGATTCTCAATCCTCCGAGATTCACGAGATTGGTTTTCCCATGGGGGTTAAACATAACCTCCACATAAACATTGACATGGTGACGGGAGATTTAGTCCTCTCAGAAACATGGAAAAAACTCTTGAAATCTGCGGACATTTCGTAAGTAGCTTGCCACCCATGGATCTCTGGATACACTCCCAGTGCTTTCATTGGGATCCACTCCTCATTTATCCTGGATCTGTGTCTGGGCTGGAAGTATGTCTTGATCCTGTTTCTGACTGCAAGAACCCTGCATTTGCATCATAAGTCAAGTGTATAATTCCCATGGATATTTGCCGTATCTGTTCTCTGTACCTGTGTACTGACAGTGTATATATATTTATATATATATATGTATATACATACATATAAGCAAGATATAATAAATTGTACTTTCACTTTAGCAGCATGAATTATACTCTTGTATTATATGTCAGACCTCAGCCTCAATCTTTCCTTATCAATGCAAGCAAATACAAACATCTTGTCCAGGGCATTTAATAATTTTATCTGTAGAACAAAAAAAAATTCAGCCCTGGACACCAGTATTGACAAGGGATGGTTTGGTTGAGGTACAGACAGAACGTATTTGTATATATATACAATTCTTGCTTCATAATCGTATTTATTGCTTTTTCTTTCTGCTTCAGTTAAGCATGCCTTTCAAGATTGGCAAGAAGCGACCTTCAGGGTCGTCATCATCGGAGACGGCCCCAGCTATGAATATTGGGCCCCCCACAGCCGTGAAACACAACTTTCATGTAGGTTTTAACGCAGCAACTGGAGATTTTGAGGGGCTCCCACCAGCATGGAATGCTTTACTTCAGTCTTCCAATATATCGTAAGTCTTCCTATGTAGATGTAAATTTCCAAATCTATATCATTAGTCCTCTTATGTTTCTTTATTCATCCAATGTATGTGCTCTTATGAAAAATATCCTCCATTTCATGTATTTTATAAATCCTTCAGTATATCATTAGTTTTCCAGTATATCAAAACTCTTTTTAAATATGTGATATAAGTCTTGTTATTTACTATAAGTCTTCCAATATTTCTAAGTTCTTCTTTTAGTATTTAAGTCTTCCCATTTGAAGTATTCTGACATAATCTTATTCCTATACAACAAGTCTTCCAATATATCCTCTCTCTGTTTAATATATTAAGACCTAATTCAAGTTTAAGTCCTTTAGTGTATTATCAGTCTTCCATTATGTCATTCATCAAATGAATTGGTGTTTCCTGTGTGCTGAACATGTAAATGTTTGAATTCCATATTATATCATTTCTGACTTTTACTAAAGGAAATATTATACATTTATTTACTTGGTTCGAAGACAGCATTTTATCAACCTGAGAACTAGGATCCCCAAGAATCAGAAGAGTTCCTATAATCAATTCTGTTTAATTAAAAACCTCATTTTTGAATAATTTCGATTCAATTATAAGAAATAGAGAATATTTTTCATTTTGTATAAAACCTGTAATCATTTTATAATACAAAATAAAAATTGAAACATACTTTTAATAGATTTATTAAGATAAAATTATAATAAAGTTTCTGAGGCCCGTAATGTACTTTTTACAGCTCAATTTGCACACCGTGGTAGATTTATAATTTTTTATGCCAACTGTTTTTTCAGGAAATCAAAATTGAGATCTCACAAAATAAAAGTGTTCTATAGTATTTGCAGGAAAGCCTTCTGAATTTCTAATGTTGAGAAATGTGTCATCACAGTGGTATATTACTTGATGTCACGGTTACATAGTAAACTATTTGAAAAATTTTCAAACGACAACTTCATGCAGGGTTCTCACTAGGATTTTATTAATCTGAGTCCCAGGACTCAATATTTTTGAGGAGGTCGAGTCTCTGCTAAATTTGAATTTAGATGCATCCCCAAAACATTATGTTGAGTTCCAACTGAGTATCCTTCCATTCAAATAACAACAAAAACCTTTATTTTTAACAAAAATGTTTAGGCCCCTATTCTTTGCAATTAATAAAATGTAACGTTTATCTATCCAAGCTGCATCCCCAAATACCCTTGTAATTTATTTGTGACATATAGAAATATCAGTTTCATTTTTATATAGTGAACATAATATATTGCAAAATTAAACATACAAGTCAATTTAAGTAGAACATCATTCTGTTTATTTGACAAAAATTCATGGGTGTCCATATGTAATGGAGCAATACCTAATCCTATCAGTCGTCTACTGTGGGTGAGATACACAGGATAAGCAAGCCGCAAATCCAACCAATTAGAATTTCTGGATTTTTGAAAATGTCCATATATTCTCATGAACAGTGACATGGCTGCGGACATATGGTTTTAAACAAACTCTGATCGTAAATAATTTTGCAGCATACCTTACTTGGATTCAAGCATTCATGAGAACCCTGCCATGCACTTTATTCACTAAATTATTTAACATCACAAGTTTTCTGATAGATAGATTTTATGACTACACATCAATTACTTCAAATATATATATCAGGTCTCCTGAAACACATCCAAACAATTATAACTATACTCTTATTCCAACTTTTCTCTACCATGCCTATGAATATTTTTCTTTCATGTACATATATCTGAAATCCATTTACAACTGTTTTGGTTTGCAATTATGCTAACATTTATTTTGTGTAAACGAAGTAAGTATTTCATACTGTTAAATATTGTAAGTACAGGGTGGTCTTTATCAAGATATTTCATGTGTTAAGAAATTAGCATTGAAGTGGCCTGTTAATGTTTAAACATTCAAGAAGGGGGGGGGGGGGGGGGGTCTTTAGTATTATTATCTTCATTGCATTTTACAGTCTGCACTCCTTGACTCAAAATACCATACACATATCCGTACTTATATAATCAATCATTTATTCATTTCTTCCTTTTTAAGGATATACAAAAATAGAACTTGGAAATGAACTAGTTTAAAATGTAATTGTGTATGATGAGGAATAACAAATACACATAGAACATATTTGAATGCTATTTAATGATCAATGTGATCCATTTTAAATACAAAGCTGGGTTATATAAGCAGGAGGTGACTTTGAGAATTCTAAGTACGGTAACCATCAATCTCAAAAAAAAAATAAATAAATAAAAAAAATTTTCAAGACATCAAAAATATTGTATGCTGTAAAAATTTCTAAAATTTCATTGTAAGGTTAAGCATGAATTTCTGATTTAAGAATTAAAATATATACTCAACAGTGTGTATGAATGCTAACTTACTTTGATTGGTCGATTGTAGGAAGGCTGACCAAGCAGCCAATCCAGAGGCTGTAATTAATTCACTGCGTACTTTTACCAAATCAGTCAAGAAAAAACCGGGAGTTGGCAAGTTTATGCAAATCCAGGAGTCTGTCGCAGAATCTGACGATGAACTGGATTACAGTGATGAAGAAAAACGAAACAGCAAAAAATCAAACGAGGAGATACCCCCTGCCCCTCACACGGTGGAGTCACCAGTTTTTGAAAGGACACCTTCAGAATCTGAAGTAGGTTGCACACACATGGACAGTTTAATTAGAATTGATTGCAGAATTCATATCAATTTATTATTAATTAATTTTGGAATATTATGTATGAGATTTTCTTTATGAGCTTATCTATGGAATGAAGATTAAATTTTTATGTATGTATATCTGCTAAATCCAAGAAGGTAATATCAGTACATGTTCTGTGTCTTTGACGTATTGGTTTAAATGGATTTTTTGTATACAGGGTTATATTTGCCATATCAAATTTGCAAATTTATGAAAATTCACCCATGTACCGATTTTTTAAAAGTGAGATAACTCTTTATTGTTGAATTCATGCATCCACTGATGATGAGATAAATGGGGGGGGGGGGGGGGGGGGGAGGAATTGTAATAAAATTTAGACCCAAATTTTACTGTATACGGTATATATTTGTAAATGATTATTAGTTACATTTTTTGGAATATGCTAATGTATAACTATCAACTAGTTCTTAAAAATCAAAATACACACATATTAAAATGGCCGTACATGTAAGCCTTGCATTTTTTCACTTACCTTACAGCACCTGCTTAAAAGGCACCTTTTCATTAAAATCTTTCCGACTTCTTTTTTACAGCACAAGGGTGATATTGTGGATGGAGTAAAGAATGTTACCCTTGACAACAACGAAAAAGAACATGAACCAGAGGTTATCACACGGCGACCTAAATCTCAAAAGAAAAACATGTCTGACGAGGAAATCAACGAGGGACTTCGTAAGTTTTTTACGCTATTTTACCTATTAAATAATTTGTAAATGTGATAGTCTCATAATGAAAATAATGTTTTGCTGCAGCATTGCATAACTTGATTTAAATTTTTATAGTATTTAGGCATTTATGAAGTAATTACATTGCTAATGTTTGATTGTGTTTCAGTTTTTACTCACTTTTATAATGAATGTAAAGTGCTTATTGTGTTTTTAGTTTTGTTTTGCAATTGCTAAAAGTGAATGATTGCTTAAAAATATGCATTGCATCATTAGAACTATAATTGTAGTAACATAACTTCCTTTTGAAGCTGATGGACTTTTTTTTCAGGGGCACTTGCTTCACCAGGAGATCCCACTGCAAAGTATACTATTTCAAAGAAGCTTGGGGCAGGGTAAGGGTTGTCTCCCTTTCTGAAGTAACTTGCAGCAATGATATATTTCATTAAACTGACACTTTAAAAAAATATCTGGCAGTAGAAAGTAAGGTATAGATGATGATGCGATGTAACTCTTAAATCAATTTTCTGATTTCTGATTATAAGACACTAGATTGAGATGAAAATGATTAAAGTTTTGATTGTTTTTTTTTTTTCCTTTTCAGAGCATCTGGTTGTGTGTATAGTGCAAAGCCTAAAGATCATGATGCAGTTGTAGCCATTAAATCTATGGATTTAACCAACCAGCCCAAGAAGGAGCTTCTTATAACAGAGATCGAGGTCATGAAAACTTACCGACATCAAAACATAGTCAACTTCCTGGATTGTTACTTCCTGTCTGAGAAAAATGAATTGTGGGTAGTAATGGAATACCTTGATGGTGGTGCACTGACTGACGTTGTTACAGAAACCATAATGAATGAAGGACAAATTGCAGCAGTTACCCGAGAGTGCCTACAAGCTTTGAACTATTTGCACTCTAAGGGTATTATACATAGGGATATTAAAAGTGACAATGTATTATTAGGAATGAATGGGTCAGTCAAACTTACTGATTTTGGCTTTTGTGCTCAGCTAAGTGGAGATAACTCAAAGCGACAGACAATGGTAGGAACACCATACTGGATGGCTCCAGAGGTCGTATCAAGGTCGGTGTTTATTGTGTCAAATAATAATTCTTATTTTGTTGGCTTTTAAAAAAATTGCATGATATTGTTCCTTAGTTTGTTCTTTTTAAATTTATCCATACTACCACATACAAGCTAGCTTAACTTAATTAACATACACATCTAGCATTGCAAACATTACTGTTTATGAAATAGAATTATTCATCTCTCTTCTACTGCATATCAACAACACAGCTATTAATAAAAAAAAGTACTCTCAAGCTTTTTTATTTTTCATCCTACATGATTGGTTGAGAAATGTACATCTTTTACAGGAAACACTATGGTAAGAAGGTAGATGTTTGGTCCATGGGAATCATGATCATTGAAATGTTGGAGGGAGAACCCCCCTATCTGAACGAAACCCCACTGAAGGCTATTTATAGAATAGCAACCAAGGGAAAACCTGAAATTAAAAATTTCGAGAAGCTGTCAAAATTACTTCAGCAATTCATCGACAGGACGCTTGAAGTGGATGTTGAGACAAGGGCAGACACTGATGAACTCCTTCTGCACGACTTCCTTAAATGTGCAAAAGACCTTAAAACCCTCCGACCCTTAATAGTAGCTGCTAAGCAAGCTACTGGGCACTAGTTTGCAAATGTACATAGATTAAGAATTTTAATTTTGACACCAAGGTAGGAATTTTCTGTACACAAATAAGCACCTTTATGCGAAAGTTTGTGTGTGTGTCTGCAGTTGTGGAAATACTGTTTTTAATTTGATTTGAAAGAACTGAAACAGTTTTTGTATTAAGTCCATTATTTAAGCATTTTGGTAATCTTTAAAGCAGATGTAGACTTAAATATAAGTTGTACCTCATTTACCAGGTGTATATTGAAACTAAGCAATGTGTATACCATTTGTAGAAAATAACTTTTTAACAACTACACTTCAGTGATCTGTCCAATCAGTTTTTTGCTGCCTCTGTTGTATAAGAGAAGTTTTGAGTACAAATATAGAGTTGTTTTACTTCCATTGTTCCATAGTTTATTATTTATCTTTTTCATGTGTCCTTCAAATCTGTTCCTTGCAGACTGTTGCCATTAACTTTTTTCACAAATGACTGTCACTTAAGATATATAGTCTGATTTGTACAAAGCATGTCCAGTTGTCCACCTTGTATTATAAATTAAGATGAGATGAACATGTTGATCTCATATTTTATATATTTTTCTAGAATGGACTTTTGAATCTTCGTAACATTCTGATAACAACATTCTATTAGCATACCAGTGTGACTGTCTTTAATATGAAAGGGAATTGATAAATTTTGTACATTTTGTAGCATACTTCTACATTCCTGAAATACTTCATGCAGCAGATACTTGGGATGGTGTGATTTAAGAAAATGTCTCTTGTGTGAATGTATGTGTGCTTGCATATATATAGGGTGCATGTCTATAAGGTGTTAGTTTGCATCACATGATGGTCATATGGCCATTTGTATTGCTTTGCTGTCTATCAAAATTACGTTATATATATAATACTACATTCCATTTGTATATTGTTGATTTATATTTTTTTAACTGATTACATTTTATTCTACTTAATTATATATATTACAATTTCTGTCACAACCTTTCCAGTACATGTTTTTGATTTATAAGTGAATATATTAATATTTTGATTTTTTTTTCTCAAGTTAAGAATTATACCTCAATAGGAATTCATTATATTAGATAAATCAGTGTGTGTGCTGGTCACCTTGCCAATTTTTACTCTCTTTTTGGACTGTATTTTTTAATAATGATAAGTATACACTTGTAAATTCTTAATTTTTTTGAAATAGTTATTTTCTAATTAGCAACACTGTAGCTGAGCTTATAAAATTATTATGTAAAAATCTGTACATTGTTAAAAAAAGGGAAACATGTGCTGTTCGAAATTCATTACCAGAAGGAAGTTCATCATTGAAACATAAATAACAACTGGGATATTCCGGTTCATTGTAAATGTAAACTTTCATCCATTAATGTATTATGCGTGTTAGGTTCTTAATTGTTGGTACATAATGAAGTATTATGATGAACAGGAAATAAATGTTTCATGCCACAGTGATGCATTAACATTATTCATGCTAATATCCATTTAAGATCAAGGTTCACATAGCACATAATGCTTTCACAGATCAAGAAAGGGAAGTCATGTCTCAAGGGAGATAATCAACTTATACTAACGAAGCAAATCTTAAAAGATATTATAGTGTATGTAATAAATTAATTTCATAAATGTATGGTATTATGGTATTTTGTTTTTAAAAGATATTCACAGGCTATTTTATGGTGATAAGTAAAACTGGTTTTTAATAGTTTGTAGACAAGAGTTATCTCCCAGGACCAATGCTTAGGTTGGCCACAAAAAAAAAATGGAATGTCATGAATCTGGAATTTTTCTTTATCAACACCTGCATGTATTAATCAAATAGGGTTATGCTTTATGTAGAAATAAGCAGATTTTGTTACTTTTTAATAGGGCTCTTTAAACTGAAAACAACTCCTACTATTGTGGGTTAAATTTGTAACAGAAAGGGAGGAAATTCAGTGGACCAGACCATTTTGCAGAACTTTAAACAGGTGCCATTACGAACTGAGCTATCTAGTCACGGGGGGGGGGGGGGGGGGGGGGGGGGGGGGGCAAACTAACCTGACTGCAACATTTGCATGGTATCTATAGGTATATGATCATCCATTTTAAACTCATCAGGACCATACTCATCAATTGAATCATGATTTTACAAAAGACACGTTGTTGCAAGACGTGGGTTTTGTTCCATTCTCTCTCTCTCAGAACCGAAAAAAGGTAAGCAACGCGAGATCGGATTAAGCAGTTAAATCAGCAGTTAAATGCTTACAAAGAGACTTGATTAGTTAAACGATAATTTTAAGAGTTATCCTTCCTGGCTGAGGAGTGGATATCATTGAGGTATTCAATGTATAATGAAGGGTCTGGGATATTGAACAATTTTGAATCATTTTAAACTAGTTAAATATGAATTGCTAGAGAGCGATGAAAGTGAAAAGAACCAAATTACATGTAACATGACTGATAACATATAAAAATCCGGTGTAAAGATTAATAAAGACCCCGTAGAAAAATGTCCAGAGGTCATTTTTTTAACGTTGAAAAATGACCCCCAGCCGTAGAAAAATGTAAATTTCTGTAGAAAAGGAACCCTAGGGTCATCTTTCTACATGTGCAACCTATAAGAAATTGACCCCCGTTGAAAAATGACCCCTATCCCAACAAAGTGATATAAGTTTAAAAGAGGTGATTGATGAAATGTTTGGGTCTCAACGTTTAAACCTCCGTCGTTTTTCTGACGAAAACTGGACGAACACGCAATAAAAATTAATATAACAGCATTGTAGCATTGTACGTGTTTAGATCTTTTATACCTGTACCTATTTTGATATTTTATTTGTGTTTGTTTGTTTATTGTTTAACGTGTCTCTCGAGAATTTTTCACTTATATGGAGACGCCACCACTTGCCGGTGGAGAGCTGCAAATTTTGACCCATACTCGGTAGTGAGGACCGTTTAGCAGTGATGGGTCTTTTTCGTGCCAGCACCTACTGCGATACGGGACCTCGTTTTGTACGGTCTCATTCGAAGGACCGGTCTCCACAGTGGAATTCGAACCCGCGACGTAAGGATCAACTCCTTATTACTCCGAGACTCTAGCCACTGCGCCACGCGGGCGACTTTTATTTATGAGAGACATTAATGGCAAAGTAACAACAAAACACTACGATAAACATGATGAATTCAACGTTTCTATCGTCAACTTTTTTCGACGTCGAAAAATGACCCGCTCATTCTACAGGGGTCATTTTTCGTCTTACACCGGTCATTTTGCACCTTAAATTTTTTTTTTTGAAGAGTTATCTGCCCTTGACGAAAAGAAGAAAATTTTAAGTTTGTCAAAATAAATCTGGTAAATGATTTATTTTATTTCACATTTTGTTACAGAGAGAATGTATGCATATTTGTATGAAGTTCAAATTACTTTTTACAATATCTTAGTACCACATTAGCTGCCCATAGATAAATCCCGTGGCTTAAATGCGACAAAACACCGAAATTAATAAAATTAATGGATGCATCTACATTTACTCAAGATAAATTTACATGTAATGTTGCTCTGATAATATACGGAAATTATTTCTTGAAAAGAAATGCCATATACTGTTGTCTTGCGAAAATAAAAACACGCAGAATTTTGCTTTGGACTGAATCAAGTATCTGCTGGCAGCAAGCAGTGAAAAAATGTAACTATTGACATTTCTAAATCTTTCTGCAAATGTTGATATTGCGGTACTCCACTGACCACGGCAATAGCTAGTAGATCTAAGTTATCTCTTGATTCTTTTTCCTCCTGATATGCGAGTCTGCCCTAGACATGGCTGATTATTCATGTACATATATGTATACCTTATTTTGATATACAGTGAATTTTACGGTTTGTTGTTGGAAAATATCGCCAGAAAACATACATGTACTAATATTGAAACATCCTCGGTTAGTGTAGATTAAAGTTTGTTCAAATCATTGCTAGCTCCTGGGGGTAGGACATAATTGGAGAGCAACATTTTACCCTGTATATACATCTTCCTCATATGAACAACAAAGTCCTTATAAGTGATATTGATATGTAATGAAATACAATACATGTACGCAGTTAACGAACAGTAAGTCCATGGAAATAATACAAATCGGGAGCAGAGCAAACATGGACCTCTAAAAATATCAGAGGTGGGATCGGGTGCCATGGAGGAGTAATTAAGCTTCTCCTGCCGACCAGTCACACCCGCCGTATGATCATTGTCATGATCGGGCAAACGGGTGAATCCATAGACCATTCAATGTTTGAATAATTGCCTAACAATTAGTATGAAAAACATAAGTCAGCATTCGATGTAATAATAGATGGTATATGCTGACAAGGTCATTGTAACGACCATAGAACTTGCAAAATGATGACTTTAAACGAGACTGTTGATATCCTTGTTTCATCAACTTGTTTGTCAGTAGTTTGCCTTGTTTTAGAAATCTTTGGTACGTAGAACATATTCTTGCATATCGAATCAATTGCAAATTCCCATTTGCATAGGTGATAAGGGAATATTGCCACATATTAAGTAAGGGGAGTTTACGATTGAAAAGTTGAAGTCATCACGTTTATCATAAAGTTCTGTTGTTAGGATACCATGAACGTCTTTTCCCAGTAAAATATCCAAATATGAAATAGATGTGTCAGGCTCTGTGGTATCTTTTATTTCAAGCTCACTGGGATATATCGAGTCGACATAAGAATGGAAGTAACTATTGTTAATTGATAATACGTCGTCGATATATCTAAATGTTGAAGGCCACAGCAAGTGTTTTCTTCTTCTCATGTAGAAGTTTTTGAATAAATTCTGCTTCAAAGAATACAAAAAATAGGTCTGCTAATGCAAGCATCTCCAGGTAAAATTCAAGTTTGTTCAGATCAAAGCTCTCGGGATAGGTTGAGGCTACACTAGGGATCAGAGTGATTAGAAGAAATCTTTTCAAGAGTGACAAGACCACACTTAATCATATAAGAAAGCAGAACACACAGAAGAAGTTATGTTGATTTTTTTTAATAATGAGCCTTTGGGTTAGGGATGGACTAAAATGAAAGATGCAAATATTTCAATATGTATGTAATCTCCAGAACAACAAGGTTATACTGATCGTTTTGATACTGGAGCATCCAAATGTTTCAACATTTAAATAAATCAAAGCTCTCCTCCGGCTCGGGCTAGATTTTTGTCCACAATATGAAGGCAAATTTGTATGAAATTAAAAAGGGAAATTAAAAGCAGCTGATGAAAAACAGTAGGGTCAAAGTGACTCTGGTGAGCGTTGTTGCCCATGAGCCTCTTGTTTTGTTAAAATTGCAGCTATTGACATTTTTAAATCTTCCTGCAACTCAGTGTTGTTATTTCGGTCGCCCACTGACCACGGCATGCGTGCAATTAGATCTATAGTTATCTCCTGGTTTTAATATTTCCTCTCTATATGTGATTAAAATCTGCCATAGACATGGCTGTATGTTCATGTACCTAGCTGTACATACATACAATGTAGTTTACGGTTGTTGTTATAGAAAATATCTACAGCATAATATGTCGAATTAAGGGAAATTTACGCAAATGTCCTTTGTCTTTTTCCCTTCTTTGTTCAGTCTGGATTGCTCAAAAGCTGTAAATCGTATTCATAATAACCTCTATAATGTACTTGCGGACATTCACTTAGAACTACTTTTTTGCTAAACCTCAACTTTTTTCAGCGTGGTCTATTTTAATTATTTTTTTTTTATCTAATGGTACTGTCAATTTCAGCACACCTGATTGGTTCCCTGTGTTTCTGTCATTTCGATTCCTAGACTTTTCTAAAATTTCTTCATGCTCATCCTCCTTAGATTCCTTGAAGTCATTTTTATTCTGGCCAATTTTTTTTTTCTCCCTCTTTTGATGTGATGTAGTCTTGCTGCCTCTGCTGAAGATTTCTGTCTTACCTCAACAATCCCTCTTTACTCACTGGTCTTCAATTTTTATTTTGAGAAAATACCTCTTGTCATCCTAGAAATAAATATATTTTGTCATGTGAAGGCATGATCTGACTCGACAATTTTTACTCCCCCCCCCTTTCTGTAGTATCAAATAGCAATTCCCTGAAAAAATAATCTCCGTCTTCTATGACTTTTACGTGTCCTTAAAATTATAGGCTAAAAACTCATATAAACAATGATAAATATGAATTTCAAACATGTATTTGGGAATTGAAATTATTTGTCTTTTGGATCATACATTCAGACTTTGTTTGAAAACAGCTCAGGTGGATTGAAAATGAATTTCAAACCAGAATTTTGCCAGTTAATGTTCCGCGGCCTTAATATCACAAGCAACTAAATTGAATATTACCCTTATGGTTATACCGGATTCCAAAACGCCTTAAAAATCCTTTCAAAGACATATACCGCTATATAGTACATGTTACGAAGCCTCTTTCTTTACCTCTGAAGAAAATATTAATAGAAGTACTAGTGAAAGAAAACTTAAGCATTACTGTGCAATAACATAGTAATATACGATATGTAATGTGAAGTTTGTTTGTTAAATCCAAAATACAGTGTACAATTTTTCCCCATAAATCAATAGCATCAAGACCTATGACGTTTCAACACTTTATACAATCATTCCTCA